CTCTGTGACCATGTCAGACATCAGGAAGTAGGAACTCGAGAAGCTATTTCCCGTTACTTAAAGACAGTTAAGCAACTGTCGCTGAAGATAATGTGGGTGCATAAGCAAATGTGGTGAGGAAAGCTGATGGTGTCTGGCTATCAAAAGACATAGCATCTGGGGTCTTAAAGGCTTGAAGACAAACAAGCAGCCATCTAACTGAGAAACAACAAAGCCCACATGGAAGAAGCACACCAGCCTATGTGATCATGAAGTGTCGATAGGATCAGGTATCAGGCATTGAGCTAGTTTATTGTGCCAGTCTGGCCGATAAACACAAGTGGGATTAACTGAAGGGCAGAGAGATGGCTCGGTGAGCCTCGTCTTTCTTGTCTCTCGCTCTTTGGTCATCGGACCAGTGTGCGGCTGCCTTACTTGTTCTGTGCCTCAACTTACAGGCTACACTACCTGTGGGATGCCGAGCCTGTGGACTGTGTTGATATAAGTTGAGGTGCCTTTAAGTCCACATGATTGAAATTTACATCTCTTGAGCTGGGGACTGACAGTTGGTGACCTGACTGACAGCTGGTGACCTGCCTTGCTCTTTTGCTGCCTGTGCTGGGATAGCTTAGCTTTCTCTCTACAGAGGACTACCAGGCGGCCCTCAAGACTTGAAGGATTGCCAGTGTCTCACAACTCTTTCACGGGAGTGAGTTTCACTGAGCCATTTGTACTGCTTTATAATAAACTGTTCATTTCTTGTATTATATATCTATCTATCTGTTTATAATTTCACAGTTCATTTCTTGTGTTATATATCTATCTTTAAAATATATATATATATAAAATTATTAGCAATCTGGTTTTATCTCTCTAGAGAACCCAGTCTAACACAGGCATCAAAGACACAGAACAAAAAATCTTACCAATTTGAATGAGGGGGAATGTGGAGTGGAGACCCAAAGTTCATCTGTAGTCAACTGGACATCCCCTTACAGAAGGGTTGTGGGGAAGAGACAGCCAGTCAGGGTGCAGTGTAGCACCAATGAAACATACAACTTTCCTCTAGTTCCTTAATGCTTCCTCTCCCCCACTATCATGACCTCAATTCTACCTTACAAATCCAGCTAGACCAGAGTATGTACACAGGTACAGATAAGAGCTGGAAACACAAGGAATCCAGGACAGATAAACCCCTCAGCACCAATATTGAGAGTAACGATACCAGAAGGGAAGGAGAAGGTGTGGGGAGAAAGGGAGGACCGATCACAATGAACTACCTAAAACCCCCTCCCAGGGGGATGGACAACAAAAAAAGTGGGTGAAGGAAGACACTGGTCAGTGTGCAACATGGAAAAATAATAATTTATAAATTACCAAGGGTTCATGAGGGAGGGATGGTGGGGGTGAGAGGTGGGGGGAAATGAGGATCTGATATCAAGGGCTCAAGTAGAAAGAAAACGTTTTGAGAATGATGATGTCAATGTGAGGTTGATTTGGCAACGGAAAGAAAGAAGGCAAAGGTAGAAAACAGCTTCACGGGTTTGTTTCAGAGCTCCTGGGAGGGAAGGAAGAGCAGAGAAATACAGGAGCATCCTGAGCTCCCGGGTGAGGTGGACAGCCCCCCAGTTGGGGCCCTGCAAAGTCACACTGATTAGGTGAGAAATGGAGAGTTTTATAGACCAGGTCTAGGGGGAGGGAGTAGCTGGGGAATTTTCCACTGCAACTTTGTTGTCTGCAGGTCCAGAGCTAAGCAACAGAGTTCAAAGTTATCTGTAACAGTTAGTCTTCTGCACCTGGGCCTGAAGGCCACCGAAGGGGAGGAGGAGGAGCGGGAAAGGGGGTCTGGCCTCTTGAGGCATCCTTGGATTGTTTTCACCAGCTCTATCTCCTAGCCCACCTGCCCAGCTAACACCCATTTCAGCATGACAGGCAACAAATGTACAAATGGGCTTGACACAATGGATGGATGGATGGATGGATGGATGGATGGATGGATGGATGGATGGATGGATGGATGGATTGTGGTAAGAGTTGTATGAGCCCCCAATAAAATGATTTAAAATAAATAAATAAATATTTTTAAAAAAAGAATATTGAGAGAGAAAAAGAGGCCAGTTAAGTGGGCACAGCATAGTTGTGCTTATGTATGTCAGTAAGGGAAACTAGGAACTGTGGTTTTTCTTGTGTACAGCCATGAGCCCACGTCTCCCCAGAGAGAGACCAGATACGTGAGGACAAGTAGAAGCCATTGTTCGGCTAGACTTAGGGTGGCTGTGATCAAGCTATAAAATAAGATGAAGGGGCAATACACGCTTAGATGTTCACATGTGGAATCACTCGGCTTCTTAAAATGCAGCACTTAATTATCATAAAGGGAACTGAGATAGTTTATTGTGCCAGCCTGGCCGATAAACACAAGTGGGATTAACTGAAGGGCAGAGAG